CAACAGATATAGATTTGCTGTAAGAGGTCCACAGGGTGTTTTTCTGTCTGGTTGTGTTTGCTGAATGAGATCAAATGGGAGTTTCACATCTACATGTATCACATGCTTTAACAGACCTGTGGTTCACAGCTCAGATGAGGAAATGACTCATATCAGGCAGTTCACAATGATCAAATACTTTTAAGCTTCTGCTCTAAATTTTCACAGAAATATTAACTGAGAAGAGAGACTGGTACACTGTGTAGAAAAACAGTAGAGCCATTTAAGAGTCTGTCTGTGAAGACAGTTCTAATAATTTATGTATTTTTAAAAAATAATAACTTAGAAACAAATACAAATATTTGTGCTGTAACTGAATGGCTGACATTAGATGACGTGTAGAGGAGGACATTTCTAAATCATACAGTTTTCCTGTGTAGAAAACAAAAGGTCAAGTGACCGTGGTCAAGAAATACTGATACTTACAGCTTGCTGAGGAAGTGAAACAGGAGCTTGCGCCACACTAGTTCTACAGGTTGCAGCACACAAAATAAGATGCAAATCTTTGAATATTAAATCTTTGAAGGTTACGGGTCTGCACTGTATATTATTTCTCTATTCTTACTGACGTATTTCTCTTTACATAGTATTTCATTTCTATTCAGAATAGTTAATGTTTTATTCTAAAAATGCAGTTAGTAGTGTTTTTTTAGGCTTACCTAAGTTTTGGATGCAAGAGATTTGTGTTATTCCGGGTTTATCATTTGAAGTAATGGTAGGAAAGAAAGTATTCTCTGCTTCTCTTTTTTGTGGGTTAACTGGTCCACGAGAAAATAAAGACGTTCATAGTTTGTTCAAAATTGATGAACAATTTGTGATGAACAATCAAAATATGATGACAACAATCCAGCCAAACCCAAGACACCTCGTAGAAAAGATTAAAAAAATAGAAATAAAGATTTAAACGTGTAGAAGTTAAGAAAGTTGACAAATGTAAAACTGAGAACAGATTACTTTTGCAAGCTCCATTTCAAGTCTTAAATAAATGATGCATAAAATTCTGTAATATTAAAAACTGCATCACCGAGGAGCACACCAGGAAAGTTACATGTGCAGGATGATTTCATTACAACAGAGCTATTATGCTCGTTTCCATATCTATATTAATATTCTTTGAATGTTCAAGCTTAGCTTTGCAAAATTCACAGTTCAGTAAATTGTTTATCACATATGTGGTGAATAAATTACTCACATTGATGAGTTATCACTATGTGGTCGTATAAACATTCTTATCTATTTGACAGGGGTCACTGGACTGCAACTAAAGTACTTTTTGAATGTACATGTGGTACTTTTTCACTATATTTTGGCTGTTAATATCATGCTTTGTACTTCATAATAATAATGTTCATTATGTTCTTGGCAAAGGGAGGAATGACACCTCATTGGAGAAGGTGATTCATGACAAC